ATCGTGGTAGAGTATACTACAATGCTGGCTGTTCTGACTCACAGACTGTAAGTTCGTTTTTTATATTTAAAGAATTTGCCACTGACGATTCAAATGCGAGTTTTGAGCATTGTAGAGTAGAGTTTGTAGTTTGTCATTTCTCCGATCACAAATGCAGACATGGTTTTATGTTTACGCGGCACGATGCAATGCAACACGTAAAACGACAGTATAAGTCATTATAATCCGTAATTATGTCCCCACTGGATGCAACAAATGCCTAGTTTATAATGGGTTTTAATGTTTTTGTCTCGTCGCTCCGGCCGGGACAAGGCATCACAATATGACAAGGGGCGTAACATTTCCGTCTCACGCTTGAGGTATTCAACCAATCACAACACACTGGATAGCTGGCCAATCACAGCACACCTCGCTTTTCAGACTGATGAGCTTTGTAAAAATCGATGCGTTTCAGAAAGGCGGGGCATAGAGGAGAAACAATAATGTACAGTATGTGGAAAATAATGTGTTTTTTGAACCTTAAACCGCATTTGAAACACATTTCATTACACCAAATACACAAAATAATGTTCTTTTTAGCAACATCATATGACATCATATTATTCATATGATGAATAAAAGCAGACCGCTGGTAGTTACAAGACAAAAGGAAGAGCAGTGGTGAAAGTGTGGGTGGTGATCTCAAGACCACCATTCCCCCTCCAGGCAGAAGCTATAAAAGCACTAATTGAAGGATTTTTACAGTGCAAACAGTGACGGAGATGAGTAAAATAAAATAAACATAAAAGATGATTCCTGACTCCTAGGGTTTATGGGCTTCTGGCTGTTATTAGAGCAGTTTGTGTTATTGTTTTCAGTGGTTAGCGCTCATCACTGCTGAAGACACTCCTGCTGGCCTGCTCTAAACAGCCTGTCAGAGAACACAAGCGCTCATCGAATCCCTGCGATTCACACCTGCCCTGCATCACTGTCAGACACTTTTGACTGGCTGTGTTTGGAGTCAGCACTCATTGGGTGAATGGAGATGTGGAGGGACAGAGGTTTGAAATATTAGCATTTATCTTATTGCAAAAAGTGATTTTAAGAGTAATGGTTGTCAGTTTGTATTCATTACATCACTTCATGGACATCAGATCAGTTATTTGTAGGGCTGCAAAATGATGAATCGCGATGAATCACATTCAAAATAAAAGTTTACGTTTACATACTGTATGTGTGTGTACTGTGCATATTTATTATGTATATATAAATACACACATATTTGTGTATATTTTAAACATATTTGTCTGTATATATATATATATATATATATATATATATTTATTTATACTTGTGTATCATTTATATTATATATAAATATAAATATTTTATATATAAATTTTAAATGTTTATGTGTGTATGTGTGTGTATTTATATATACATAATAAATATACGTGGTACACACATGTAGTATGTAAACATAAACTTTTATTTTGAATGCGATTAATTGTTTTGCAGCCCTAGTTATTTGTATAATTTAATATAGTATATTAATATAATTTGTAATAATTTAACATTATATTTTGCAGTTTTCATAAATTGCCTGTTTGATGTATTGATCCAGGCAGGTCCATAGTACAGAACAACATCATGTTCTCAAAGCCAAGGTCATGGGCTCGATTCCCAGGAAATGCAACTAATTATTTGCAATAAATAAATGCTTAAATGTAAATGTTTTTGATCATTTCTCAGTAAAACCTTAAATGTTAGCAACATTGATTATAAATGTCTAAAAATCATTAAAAAACTATTTCATTTTAGTACATTGAGTTTATTTTTCAGTCTGTTCTATTTTTTGGTATATGTTGTGGTCTAGTTATTTTTTTAAATCGTTCTTGCTGAACAATTTTAATGATCCAGTGAACTTGTCATTTCTGGGTTTTTGTAAGTCAGTGAATAAATGCATTGAACAGCAATACAATATTGAACATGACTCACTGGTCTCTTGGTATCTCTTTTGTGTTGAGAACAAGTTCCAAATAACCAAACTGTACATCATTGGATGTACTGTATATGAAGAGCATTTGCATTTTCTTGCTCACTAGAATGGATTAATATAAAATAGATGAGATTCTGTGGATTTTAGTGCCCACTTTAAATAACAAATAATGTTCTCAAACATGTTAAAATATTAATGGTGACTGTAGGTCATTGTTGTTTTTCATGCGTCAACAGTCAACTTCCAGATTGTTGACAAAGTATGGTTAACATTCAGGTTGACTTTTACGAGCCACTTACATACAGTACATAATACCTGTATCAGCAACATGCATAATAAATAAGCATAAGTAACCTTTTCCATTTAGCCTCAAACAGACTCCATTTGTTTCAGTCATTGTATAATTATGGAGTTTTTCTGCTGGATCCCTGATGCTGCTACGTTAATCAAAAATAGATCTGAGTGGGACTACAGGACCTTGGCAAGAGCCATGGTTTTCTATTGTGTGCTCAACTTTACTGCCAAATCTCATGCTACATGCTCTTTGATAAGAAAAGAAAAGAGTCTTGGCAAAATAAATGGATCTCAAGGCCTAACATGGGATTTATTTTTTGTAGTAGAGACACACTGTAGTTAATAAGAAACTTTATTGCGTATTTCTGTGGTTGGACGTGGGGAGAGATTATGTGAAAAATAGGAATGAGACCCTTGTCTGTGTGTGTTTGCGTGTACAGCAGAGAAGATCTGACACAGAGTGGTGGTTGATGGAAGAAGTCCTGGTGATTACTGATGCATGTTATTGCTGAAGGTCACCAGCAGGCATTTAACTCTAACTGATGAACTCCCACTTATTGATCTGTTGAGGCCCTGCGGCGGGAAGATGAGGGAAGCCTATAAGGACACATGCTGAGCCTCTGGGGATGCAGTTCCACTGTGCAACCATGAGAACATGATGTCATGCTGCTCCGTGCATGTTAGCGAATCAAAGCTGTGCTCTTTCAGTTTACTACTAAGAAGTACATGTAAATAGAAGGTGAAGTCTGAGGGTGAAGAGAAATGTAGCATAATTACTTACTACCATTTTTTTTGCCATCGATACTCTGGACTTTCTTGAATATTTTGTAGAATTCACTGAGTATGTCAACTTTTAATTTAATTAGTGACATTTAAGGTAAAGATGCTGTAAATTTAAAGGTTATTTTTTGGTATCTTTGATTACATGGAGAACCATGGAAGCTTTTAAATGCACATAATGTTCTTTATAGTTTCTTCAGGTTATTTAAATGTTTTTCAGACTAAGAATAAAAATGTTAAGATCTTTTCCCTGAAAGGTTATTTTGGTTTTGCTGCAAAAACCCTCTATTGAAACCATAAGAGTATATTACTGTTGTTGCTCATATATGAATAAACCCTTTAATGCTAAGTATAACATTTTGGTGAGCTCAAGTACCACTTAAACTCAATCAACTCTGTATTTTATGGGGGGTTTTTTTTGTAACGTTTTGGTTTCTACTCTTCCCATTGCTTGCAGACATTTTATTCAAGCACGCCTCCTTCGCAACTTAGTAACCTAACATCTTTTTTTGAGTTGTGTGTCAAGTGTTAGTTGAGAAATCTCTTATGGGCGAGTGTTGTTTTTCTCCGCAAATGACAAGAACACTGCTTGTTTACTTGCTCGAGAGACTCGAATGTCGTTGACTCATCCATGTTTTTTTTTAATTTTTTTGCAAAGAACTCTGACTGAAGCGTGCTAGCCTAACTTTAGCCTAGCTTTCATTAGTTGTGCTCTTGTAGGTTTCCATGGTTTCCTTTGCAGCCGAGAGAGTTTTGCTTTAATGATTAGAAAGATTGATGATTTTTAAGAGAATTAATAGAAATTTGAAGTGCCTTTTGACATGAGAGCTTCAGCATTTTCAGATGAAATCATTCTGACTTATAATTGGCAACCCAGAAAGAAATGAACTCCAGTCTGTTCCCACTGATCCTGTCTGAACCAGTTTGCTTGTGTAATCTACATAAAGAATACAGCATGCAGTTGCCTCCCACAAAAACAGTCTTTTAATGTAAATTATATTAGTCAACATTAATATTCGCAATTACAATATCAAGGGAAGTAATCGACATTGTGGACGCTAGTGTAAAAGCATCCCATTCTGGTGACCAGTAACCACCTTTACATCAGGTTTGACATTCACCATCAGAATTCAGTGTATCTTTCTTAGTGTTTAGGCAAAAACATGATCTAGTTGTATGCAAGCATTTGTCTTCCTAGAAAGTTCTCTTGGTGACTCACCTCACAATTGCATTAGCCGCCGTATGGCATTTTACATATGTCTCTGTGTGTTCATCTCAGCGCAAGGCAATTACACCAAGATGAAATATTCATTGGGTCCCCGGACACTCTCCGCTGCGCCCTCGAGTCCAGCGTGAGGGTGTAGATTGCATCTGCGTTGTGTCCTCTCCTGTGATACAACATCAATGACACGTCGTGAAAGTGGCGCGAGATGCCATTCGGGCTTTAACGACATACATATAAAAGAGATCCAGGGACCTGTCAGGTCTTTATATCCCCTCTGTCCCCTGGGTAAACCTTCAGGGAAATCAACAGCTTGATATGCAGAGGCATGCTGAAAAATGTATGGGCGTAATAAAGGCATGCTCAGACTTGGCATTTAGCCCAAAATGCTTGCTGATATATATACGTGCCCGTGTCAGCCTTTGAGCATAGTGACAGTCTTTTATCATCGATATGACAAAAAGTCATTGAGGGGGATCCAACACTGATCTGGCCTTGTTTGTGTTTATGTATGTTCTCTGACATTTACTTTGCGACATGAAAAGTGCCCCTGGGTGTCACATTATGGATACCGGGGGGCTTTAGTGGGAGAATTCTCATTTTGCCGAAATGAAACTCACGCTGGGACCAGCCTTTTATCATCTAAGTGCTTTTTGGTTGATGTACTTTTTATGCTTGTTGACAGAATTTCTTTTCTCTCTTCTCTCGTTTTTCCTTTCGCTCCAGGCCTCGTGAAGCTGGGAATCCACTGTGTCACATGTCAGAAAGTTGCCATAAAAATTGTAAACCGGGAGAAACTCAGCGAGTCTGTGTTGATGAAGGTAAGATTGGGCTGTTCTTCAGTGTACTGCATGAGATGACTAAAGTAAAGCAGTCTGTTGCTCTGCACTGAACTATAATGGAACTGAAAGTTGTGAATATGGCTGTTCGTATCAAATCTGTCAGTTACATTTACACTGTAGTGGGTGAGTTTGAATAGTTAAATAAATTAAGATTACTCACGAAGCTTATTCTATATGTTTATGTTTGTGTCAGCTCTGTCTGCAAGGGAAAGTTAGCACCATTTCTTTTCTAATTATACCGAGGTACTTGCTACAGCAACAAAATATGAAAGAGCCTTTTGAGTATGAACAGGCAGCTGTCACTGTGCTGCTGAACTGCTGTCAGAGGATTGTTTGAGTATATGAAAGGATTACCCACAATTCTTTTACCCATCTTCAGTAGTTGCCTAATGGTATACACAGCAGCATACTACCACTATTAGACTGGACATTGATTAGCTGGTGTTCAGTTAAGGTTATCTCTAATTGTTCATTATCCGGTTTAAATCATGCACAGTGAGTGTTGCTGTCAGCTCTCCATCTCTGATCCTCTAATTGGGTTTGTATTTTGCTGAAAGTGACACGTTTGTCACATCATACACAGCTCATGATATGTAAAGTTCCTTCTATATGTTTGTTGAAAGTCAAATGTTGGGGAGAAATTCACCAAGAATGAATGGCATCTATCAATTGGATTATAAACAAAGAATCAGGAAATTTGGGTTGTTTATACTATTCACAAATTTAATACAATTTGTGACAAGGAACATTTTTAAATGAAAACAGCCATGCCGATTGGCTCAAGTTTTAGAACAGGACTCATGAAAAATCTTTTAAAAAATAAATTTAACAGCTGTAATGCAGTGAATTTTTGAGCAATGTGTTTTGGTTGGAAACCAATAGCATATGATGCAATTTATTATTATTAGTTTTCAGCGCATTCTTGCAGATGCTTTCAAAGTCATCTTTGAAATTTGTTTGCAAGTTAGAAAACATTTCTGGACAGCAATTGGATGTTTCCCGGATATAATTTTTGTGCTTCAATATAGTGCATATGTTGTGGCTATGGTTGTAAATATGTTTTCTGGAAAAAAAAGATAAGTACTGATAAAAATACTTTTTTTTAGCTTTACAGATATGGTGGTCACATCCTATGTGTTTATAACATTATCTGAAAGTCAGCAGATGTTCTTTGCTTTATAGAGTGAATAATTGAGTCTGTCAAACTGCTACTGTGGTATTAATTTTAAGAAGAAAATGACAAGATGGGCTTAAGAAGCTGCTGATGTTGCCAATTTGCTTTATAAATTCAGTGAGCTTTAACATAAAAGTCACCTCAACTTTTGACCCAGTCAACGTAATTTCCTCTCAGTGTCCATCCAGCATCATATGGATTTCATTAAATGGTTAATGGCTCATTAACTCCTGGTGGATTGTGGGGCAGTAGTAATTTAGATGAGCTGATTGGTTCCTCATTGTAATTGGATGTGGGCTATACAGTCATCCGGTCCACATGCCGTCCCCAGACCCCCCTGTTCGCTCATAGTGTTTGGACTGCGGGGGAAATTGCTTCTCAACAGGAAATAGACCTAAGCCTTATGGGAGTCTGATTGTGGATGCAAGCTTTCATTGTCTTACTTTACTTTCCTCACCAGGCTTTATAATTTAGAAAACAAACGGGTGCTGTCGGATCCCAACATAGAGTTGGAGTAAAGCCGCCTCCATGACTGATAGTTAGTCGTGTTTCTCTGAAGGTCACCCTGTAACCCATTCTATTGTATCTCCTGCTTATTTTAGCTTCTCACAGGGGCTGTTGTCATGGCAACCTGACATGATTGGCTTGGGGAGGGAGGTAGGGGAGAAAATTATATGCTTATAGTAAAAAACAGCTTCAGATGTTGCACGCCTCCGTCAAAGTAGCTGAGATTTCGCGAACGACGGAGGCAAAAGATCGAGACTGCAACCTGCTGTTCTAACGCATCAGAGTCCCAAAGTCATGACTAATCTTCTCTATGGTGTAATTTCCCATGATTCCACCTTGATTTATCCCATTTAAACTAGACTTCAGTTCAGTTCAACTCATTGGATAGTCTCCCAGTCATTGGCTGCTGTGTTTCTCCTGGAGTTCCCTCCTTACCACAGTCTAGGAATAAATAAACAATAATTATTTCATTAGTATAATTTTAGACAGTCAACAGGAGGTCACCTGTCATTCTGTTGTTTTCCTCCTTCTTCTCTTTCCTGGGCCTCCAGCGAACCCTACGTTGGTTGGCATTTGCATAGCATGGAGCCGGTGTGCAGCTGTCAGTGTATGAAAGATCATACATGGCTGTATGTAAAAAAGCAGGGGGTTCAGCTACTTCCTGTCAATGTGTGCGCTTGCTAGGACACAGTATACGGAAGACTGTGCATGTGTGCAATCAGAGCCCAGGGTGAGCGTGTCAGGTTGTATTTGTGTTTGCAGCATGTCTAAAGCTAGGTGTGCAGTATGCAGTGTGTGTGTTCATGTCTACTCCCAGGGAGAGGCGGTGTTGTGTGTTAGGTCGTGGCACGGACAGAACAGAAGCCTGGCATTTGAGAACATACTCCTCGCAGAGAACTCCACAGCCCCTGCCTGGCCCTTCCTGAATTAATGAAGTCGTCTCTGACATTTTCAGACATGAAAAGAAAAGCTCTTTGACTTACTTTGCGGTCACACTAATGAGGGTTATGTCAGGAGGTGACCTCGGCCTACTTTGCCTCAGAGGATGTGCTGCAGATGCCTCTCAGCAACGTTGTGTTTTTTTTTCAGGGGAGAGATGTGTTTGTAAGTGTGTGCTTTCATTGTATTGCATACAATTATAAGTGGTGTTTTTAAAACCAGTGAATTTGATTAAAAATAGGGAGCGTTTTCGCAAGCGACAACGATGTTCCAGTTCTAATGCCATTGCAAAACTTTGAGCAAAGCATGCTACACTCTTAAAAATAAAGGTGCTTCACGATGCCATAGAAGAACCTTTTTGTCTAAATGGTTCCATAAAGAACCTTTAACATCTGAAGAACCTTTTGAAGCACCTTTATTTTTAAGAGTGTAGCTGTTCTGTCTTTTGGCTGCACAGATGAGCACAAAACATTATTTAGAGTCCCAGCCTCAGAAGAGACAAGAGAGCAGTGGATTTATTGATTTTATTTACTGTATATCACACTGCTGCCACAGAGATCTAATATAAACATGCAATTTCTTTGCCTGCTGTTTCCCTTTACAGACATAACTGACTGGTTTTGTAACTCGTGTGTTTTAACATAAACTTGTGTGTATTTGACAGTTTAAGCTCAATAAGACATGAAAGAGAACTTAGTTTAGTACTCCTATGCCGTGTGTCAGCCGCTTTCTGTGTGTGTGCACTCAGAAAACCGTATATCAGGAGTTTAAACTAATATGGTTTAAAACGCTTGATTTCAGCACGATAGACATGATAATCAAAACCAAACAGATGTTTTTAGCAGAGAATCTGAGGTATGAGCTGTAAAGCTAGCACAGCCCTATTCTGGAAAAGGGGGCGGGGAGCAGCAGCTCATTTGCATTTAAAGAGACATGTTTCTGCTTCCACTCAAAATAGGCATTTTCAAAAATGATATAATAAATGATCTGTGCTGTATTTTGAGCTGAACCTTCACAGACCCATTCTGGTGACATCTGAGACTTATATTACATATTGTAAAATAGGGCATAATAGTTCTCCTTTAAAACACTGGAAAAGCTTTTTTTCATCGTGTTTCCACTCCAGTCCTATTTTAATGGTGTTGTGGAAAAGCTGTTTTAAAATGCTAAATAGTGTGCTTATCGTTTAGCTTCCCTTGAGGCAGGCTACTCAAAACTATTTATGACAAACCATGCATTAAACATCATTCCCTCCTAATGAATTACTGCCTCTTGACACTGCAGGGTGGATCCCAGTAAACATTTCAGAAAGGTATCACTCTTTGGTTTAATCAAGTCTTGGGTAGTTAATGGTAAATGGCCCAAGGGATGGTGGGTGTGAAAGTTTCTCTCAGCGTGCGGTGTCAAATCCAGACAGGTCCTGAGGGGAAAGCTAACATTTCTGAAACCAAGCCCAGTGTTGCCCAGGAGACTGGCTGCTGAGGAGAAGGAGGGACATGTTGCACCCCTGCAGTGAGGAGATAACTCAAGCTGTGGATGAGTGCCAGTACACACACTATATGTTACACAGTGAAGGTGGAAGATAACCTTAACTATATATTTTAACTAAACTATATTTTAAAGGAGAAGTGTACAATTTTTACACCTCTAGCAGCACCAAATTGTATTCAAAAATATATTACATATATATATGTATGTATGTGTATATCCATCCATCCATTAACGTCACTGTTCCTAAACTTTAGAATAGTGTTCTACAACAATATTTGACAATAATATTTAAATCTCACTTATTTACAGTCTGTTTTTAAAAAAGTTTTTCTGATGTTCTGTACTTTCCAGCCAAAACTCAGAGTTGATGCATTTACCTCACATTTTGTGGTGTTACCTCACAACTTTCCTTTTCAAATTGAAGGAGCAAAATGGCTCAAAAAAGTTATTACCAGTTTCCCCTTAATAATAAACATAAGTGTTATCGGTCGTTTTCAGGTATGTGCAACCAGTACATATTCTGTTTAACATAACATAAAAAAGGGTTTCATGGTCCCTTTTTTTGCTGTCCTCTGTTACAGTTTTTCTCGATTGCTAACACACAATTCATGAAACAATTCACCATTTTCTCACAACTATAAACACAATCTCAAAACAACACACCATCTTGTGCAAACTTCAAACTTCCAGGTCAAAATCAAATACTTTAGTCAAAAACATGTTCTCGTTTGTCAGACTCAAACTTTGGCCTCAGATGACACACAAACCTGCCAAATACACACACTACTTCACTGCCTAGAGAACACTAGTGAGATCAATTCAAAACACTGTTACAAAAACCTCCTTTTGGGAAATAGGAATCCTTTTG